CCTTTGACTATTATTGGAATAGATTTTAATAATTTCTTACCATCTTAATATATTTTTCTTTCGTAATCTTTTACTTAAATTCCCTTGCCATCTTTCCATTCTTAAATTCTCTACTGTTTCTAACTAGTCCAAATAGATTCCTCAAATGAATGGACCTTCTGACTTCGATGACCATCAAATCAATTGCATGTGACTGCAGTGCAATAGAATTCAAAACCACATACGCATAGGAGCATATTTATGTGACACACTGAAACCTGATTTTACAAAATAACATGAAGAAAATTAATAGATTTTAAATTAATAAGCCATTAATTAAGTATTTTTCAAGATTCTTTCAAAATTGATTAATGTAGGTTTATTTAAATGTTCTAATTTTGCTTGCCAGTTATATTTATTAATTCTTTGGGAATATATTTTAAAATATTGCATGATCACTGATGTAATTTATGTTAAATACATATATATTTTTATTTATCATTTGCATTTTATATTATCAAAGAGATTTTAAACTTAGTTGATTTTCATAGGGGATATTATGAAATCTCTAGCAAAACTTCCACTTCTTGCATTAAATTTACATTTTCTAGTAAACTTCCACTCTTAATTTTGTAAATTTGTTGAAATGATTGATCGATTATTATTGGGCCCACAACAGCGTCTTTTTTTTTGTTACAGTGTGTATATTTTGTGGTCTGTTATGCAGTCAAAAGCCGTCACTTGGCTGCTTCTGTTTCATTTGATGTCTTTCTGTGTGCGTTTGCCGTTTGCCGTTCGCCATTTGCCATTTAAATGAATGCGAGCAATTTTGCGCTGGTGGCGATGTTGCTGATGTTGTTGTGTTGTTGTGTTGTTGTGATTTGCTTTGATTGGCATCTAATTTATGATTGACAGTTACAAACGTCTCGTCTCGGAACAGCAGCCAAACAATCGGGCCTACCGCAAGAGATCGAGAATCGAAAAGCGAAAATCGAACACCAGCCAGAAAAAATGGCAGCCAGTAGACCTTATGGTCGGATATCGGCTTAGCTTAGCTCAGCTCAACTCAGCTCAGCTCAGCTTAGCTCTCGGTTGTCAATCAAGCTATTAAATAATTTACAAATACACACACACGATACGACATTGGATGGGAATCGAATTTATGAACTAACGTCTTGATTTACGTAGTCTTCGCTGGCTGAATGCGGTTTGAAGCTTTGACACCTTGACGGGCATTGTCAAAGAGTTTCACACTCAGCAGCACAGCACTCAGCAGACAGCACACACCACATGGCACATAGCACAGCACATTGGCTACTGTTCTATCGGATTACGCGGCGTATGCGCAATGTGGCCCAAGCCGAAACGGTCGAGTATCGAACTGCCGACTACCGACTACCGACTACTGACTACCGACTGCCAGCTAAGGCAGCAACAACAAATGCAGTTTATCAGTCAGTCAGCCAGTCAGTCAGTCATTTGGTCAAGAAGGCAGTCAATCAGTTAGCAAGATAGTCAGTTAGTCAGAAAATCAGTTGGCTAGATAGTCTAATAGTGAGATATTCAGTAAGTCAGTTAGCCAAATAGTCACTAAGTCGCACATTGTGACTAACTAGTCAGTTAGTCAGATAGTCAGTTAGTCAGTTAGTCAGTTAGTCAGTTAGTCAGTTAGACAGTTAGTCAGTTAGTCAGTTAGTCAGTTAGTCAGTTAGTCAATTACTTAGCTGTTTGTCAACCCCCACACAAGAAAAGTGGTCTGCCCGATATAGGCCACAATGTGGGGCTGTAAACAAAACGCGGATACACAGTGGAGCACTGACATAACCGATCTGCAATCGACTGATAAGAAACAACTATGTATATAAACAAATATATATATATATATATATATATGCAATTGAGTGGAAGGCGGGTGCCGTAATGATATTTGCCAATGACCCTCGACGGACGATAGAGAAAAGATTGCTTTTACAACGAAAGTGCTCAACAGTATTCAACAGAATATATTTAATAATAAACCAATTCAACCAGTCACTCATTACTTTATTATTTTACTTTGAATGTACTTTAAATTGAAATCAATTGATTAATAAACGAGTATATAATATTTGTTAGCTAAGATGGCAGAAAAGATGGTTATCGTGATCAAAATGTTATGCGTACGTTTAATAATATAAACAATAGTTTTAATTTAAAAAGCGTTGTCTATAAAGTAAACTATACAAATAATAAAGTATTTATTTAATATTAAATAAAAAATTATTTGATTATGATTGATTATGTTTTGTAGTTACATGAGTTTCTTACTTTCAAAAGTAATATGTGCTAATAGTTTAGGATTGCCGTAATAATATTGTCGAGCTATCCACTGCCATAGAAATCATATCTTCCACAGCGTTACTTAGTGTGCACTGATTGTTCAGATTTGCTCCTCCGATATTTGGCTATATGGATATATACATAGATATGCTGTGTGTGTCATGTTGCTGCTATGTTGGCGACTTTGACTTCGACGTCGACGTCGGCAGCGCTCGCTAAAACTACATAAATCAAAGGAAAAGCATTTCTCTGTTTTCTGATCGTCTAGCTGAAATTTTGTTTTTTTTTTGGTCTTGTTTTTTTTGGTTTTTGGTTCATTTCTATTTTGCCCAGTCTCTTCATTCTCTTTGCTTTTCGTGGCGATTGTTGATTGCTGTCGTTGGTGTTGCTTTTGCAATGGCATTTTGTACGCATGTTTCAGACATTTAACATTTTTTGTATATAGCCAAGAGACAGATATCGTTCATATGCACAAACACACCAATGGGTGTGCGGTGTACGGTGTATGGTGTGTGGTGTATATAGGTCTTTTTGTTTTTATTTGTTTGCGGCGGGGCCGTGAGGCCAAAACATTTATAGGAATATTTCAAATTGCAGACGACGACGTCGCTGCCAGCAGCGCCTTAAATGAGGCTGACAAAAAGAAAAACGACAAAAAAAGCCAAACATAAATAAATAAAGCTGAAGGAAATTATAATTGCTGGTAACGAAGCTGGCATACCCTGCAAAATGGTTATGCAAAATGCTGAATATTATGCAGATTATTATTATTAATATTTTTTTAATTTGTTTGCCAAGCATTTTTTTGATTTTTAATTTTTCTAAATGCAATGATTATACTAAACAAAATTGTGTTTTAAAAATAATGTAAATATGATTTGAATTAGAAAAGACTCGAGACAAGTTAAATATATTATAAACATATATTACCCTTTAACATTACACAATTTAAAAGGTGTTGCTAAATTTTTAGTTTTCAATTGGACAGCCTTTCCCAAAAAACAAAAACTCCCTTGCAATTATTCGTTTTTCTTTGATGTTGGCGATTCCCTAACCTGTAAACACATCACTATCAAAAATAAATATTTCTGTACAATTAAATAGGAAACAAAAAAAAAAACACACACACGCATACAATTTTTACCTGAACTTTTCTATTTAATAAAATTTAGCATAGATGCATAAATTATAATAGCACTATAAAACAAATGTTTCTATATAATTAAATATAGAAAAGACGCTAATTTAGATATTTATTTTAATTCTGCTGCAAAAATAAAATGGTACCAAGAGATTTAGGGAACCCCCAATCCCGAATCCCGACGAGAATCCTGGAGAGAATAATGATGAGTAGGTATAGGTATAGGTATAGGTATAGGCATATTAAATATGAAATTAATGGAAAATGCGGTTAAAAGCCAAACGTGTTGTTGGCTTTTCTTTTGTTGATGCTGCTGGCATCTGTCTATTTTCGTGCATATTATTTCATGCGTCTTACATTCTTCGTGTTGTGGTTTTTATTTTTTGCTTTTAATAAACCGAAAACTATTTTAATATGTTTTATTTTTATTTCAAATGTGACACAAATGATTGTTAACGATATCGCGAGTTGTTATTGTCTGCATTTTGGATTGGCCGGCGCTAATAAAATCAAAATTGAAATTGAAAGAGAAAGCTAACCAATTAATTAACAAAAGCCCCTTGCAAAACCGCAAAAATGTTGTCACATACCACAAAATACATACGTATATATGGTTGTTTCGAGTCGGCAGTTCCAATTCGAATATTTCGTTTTGTCATATTTTCCCACATTATTTATTAGCAATACTTAATATATAGTTGACGATGGTTCATTTTTTCGCCTCGCTTCGGCTGCGATCCATCCTGTTCTGGTTTTTAATTGCGCTCACACGTGCCGGCTGCTATATGAGTGGACATTTATAATATTTGGGCGATGATATATGGAATGTTTCGGCACTAAAGGGACAACACTATGGATCTCTATATATTCGCATCGAAGGCTAATTCGGGGCACGTCAGGAGAATTCGTTTATGTTTAGTCAATCTTTGAGCGAGGCCGGTTTGTTTTCGTGCTTTCCAAATTCACGACTCTCCTGGGAATGTTTAAAACCAAACACTTTTCAAGGAATTTCACTCTCGTTAAAAGTAAATTTTTCAAAAGAAATATGAAATTGTGTGGCTTGGAATTTTGCATATTTGTATATGACTTTTTATTATGTTTACGTTCGCTAGCAATTGAATTAAAAAATGTAGATGTGTGGACATACTTAACATTTTTTCCTAATTGAAGGTGCTAAATTGAACAATATTTCTCTTTTAAAACTACAATAAAATAAAGGCAATAAACTTGGTAATTTCCTTCTGAAATACTTAAAGAAATATTCAAAGAATTTAATCTAAAATTTTAAGCAGATAACAACATGTGATATTTTTTTCTTATAAAATTTGAAATGTTTGGAAACTCTGAGACATCTTTTACAATACATTTTTGCACTACAGGTAAACATCTTTTGTTTTTTAGGGCAGATTGCCAGTTAAAACAAGGTTCCCTTTCCGAATTTGCTAAGTTAATAACTTTAATTTTATTGTGAATAGAGTTCAGTTTGATCAAAGAACAAAATTAAGTAATTACTTATGCAAAATAACTTATTTTCATATTTTGTATGATCTTAAATAAATTAAATAAACAAATAAAATCTACTATTATTTGTGTATGTTATCTGGCGGTGCTAAAAATATTGCAGTGCTAGACATTCCCAAGCCTCTATTTGGAAAAACCCAAAATATACTGCTTACCTAAGAAGTAATATATGTAAAACCTACATCAGAGTTTCTGACTCCTTTAGGGATTTCTATATTTTATTTTGGAACATCATAAAATGGTTGTGCATTTCTGGCTGACTTTGCAGGCAACATGTTGCACAGGCTGGCAGCGCAGCATGCTGCCGGCGGAGTTGCGCAGTCGCAGCGACGTCGGCGCAGGTCAGACAGCGCACTCTCTCAAGAGAGCTTGCACCGCCGCACCGCTCTCACTGTTCCGTAACATTGCTGTTAGCCGGGCTAACATCTCTGTTATTGCGCAGTCGCAGTCTGCGTCGACGTCGGCGTCGCTGCGCGCGCGGCACGATCCGAAATCGTATCGTTTCGTTTTGTTTCGTGTCTCGCTTTCCTCTCAAATTCGTTTTCGCCGCTTTGCCGATCGGACGTGCCCGTTCCTGCTCCGGACAACAGAGATCATAGTACGCTACAGCCAAAAGTAGGATAAAAAGCCGCCGAGAACGCCGAACTTAACGCAAACGCTAATGCTAATGCAAGCGCAAACGTTAACGTAAACGCATACGCCAATTGCCAATTGCCAAACAGTCGCGTTGTCGTTGTCATTACGAGATCCGAGATCGACTCTATTTTCCAGAGCATACAACACTATATACACCAGAGCACAGCACAGGCCGTTTAATTATAATAGTGCTATTGCTATAACTAAAATCAAACAAAGTAAAGTAAAGAAAAGAAAACAAGTCTCGAAACTGAAAACGAAAATAAGGCAAATTTATGCAGCCACTACGCTAGAAGTAAAGCTAAAGCTACAGCTAAATAATAAAAAAAAAACAAAACAAAACAAAACAATAACAGCGAATAAAACAAAAAACAGCAAATAGAATAAATCCAATAAATCGGCGCGCGAAACTCGCGTGTGTTATCTAATCTGCAAGAGAAGTACAAGAATCGAAATCGGAATCGGAATCGGTTCTATACTATATCATTGTCTATATCTATATCCATTAAGTGTGTGTGTGCGTTGCGACCTTTGTTTTATATATTTTTTGTTGTTGTTCATACACTGTGAAACGTGCTTTCCAAGCCGGGCATAAAAAAATACATACCCAAAGTTAAAAGATACACACATAACAAATATGGCCAACAAGCAGAGGAAATCAAGTGGCTGTGGTGGCATCGAGTGGGCCACGGCCACCGGCACAGTACAGCTCCTGGAAAGGAGAAGCATCAGCAATCCGACGATCCCCGCCGAAGCCCAGATCCCAGCCCCCATCCCAGCCAGCCACAACTGCAGCAGAGTCCAAGAACGGGAGCGGGAACCAGCACAATCGCTGCTCCCGATCCGCCACCTGCGCCACCTGCTCATCGCCGGACTGCTGCTGGTGTGTCTGGTGGGCGGGACGGAGGGCCGCCGGCATGCGCCGCTCATGTTCGAGGAGTCCGACACGGGCAGACGCTCCAACCGACCAGCGGGTAAGTCACCACCATCTATTCCTTCTCCATCTCTGCCATATCATATGTCATTTGCCATTTGCCATATTCCATTTCCCACTTGCCGTTTTACTTTTACCCATTAACCAGAGAACGAACAGCGCAGGTTGCTCAAATAGAAAAGCTTAAATTAGTTAAAAAAAATTATACTTGCAAGAAAATAATTTTTTTTAAGATTACAAACGTGAAAATCCGTATCAGCAGCATATTCAAAGTAATGTCACATTTCAAATTGCACCCGTCGTAAGCCCGAGATATTTTAATACCCAAACATACAAAGGTTATATTTCTATAACACATCTTATGCCAAAGATATTGAAAAATCCGAAAAACCTAAGATAATAATTGCAATTTCCGTTCATATGACTTTCAAATTAAAGTTACAACATGCTTTAATTATTTGTTAAATATAAACAATTGAGGGACTAAAGAGTTTGTAAGATCTTTTAATTTAAATTTGAAATAATACAATTCTAAGGTTTTTAAACGTTGAAAACAATCAGGACATAATTTATAGAACTTAGGGTTTTGATATTCAATTGTTAATGATGTTTTAGTTAGCTGCTTCAAATTTCTGAAATTTCTACCTCCGCTGTGGTTGCATAAGTTGGCATTGCCATTGCCTCTGCCCATTGCGCATACGCCGTGTCGGCTGCCGGCGGCAGTTGTGCGGCCATATCTGTATGGTGCGGGGAAATCCCCGCAGGTAGAATTCCAGCCGGTGTCGAGGCGGGACCTGCTCGCACCTCTAATCCCGCCAGGGGTCGGGATGTGGGATATTCCCATTCTCGGCGGCACAGACATTTGCACTCGCACTCCCTTTTTTTTTTTTTTTATTGTGTAGTACACGGTACGTGTACACCGCACCACATATTGTGTGTGCGTTAATCCGGAAAGCGGGAATGGGAATTCCCTTCCGCTCGCTGCCTGCGTTGTTGCTTTTTTGTTGCTTTGTTGCCGCGCAGACGCATCGGCGGCGTCCGTAAGCCGCTTACCGGAGACACATGGAAACATAGATAATATATATATAGACCGATCGATATGCCGGGCCAACTGGAGATGATAGATGAGAGATGGAGAGCAGCGGCACCCAATTGCAATTTGTTGCAACTCACACGCTTGATTAGCTGCATTTCCTGTTTGGCCCCGGCCCCGGCATCCCCCATACTATCATATGTATTATGTTCCCAAGTTGCCGTTTTTCTTGGTCCGCTGCCGTTGTTGCATTTTCAATTAAAAACAGATTGCGGTTTACTTTACGTGGCAGCGACTTTGAAACGATTCTCGGCTTACACGTAGTGATGATGATTAACAGGTTCTGTTTGGGGCTTAGTTGTATGCGGTATCACATCCCGGGGATTTGTTTGTGCCGGAACCGGAACGACTAATAGTTGTTGCACAACAGCAAAGCTTAAAGTTAATCCGCCGGTTTAAGGGCTTACAACTCCGCAATCTGGCAGCTTACATCTGGGAGTATCATAAACATGGGCATCAACTTCCAACCCAGATAACTCATGAAGTAAGCCAGCTAGCTTAACCAATTCCTAGGGAAACTTCAGTTCCCAGCCGCACCAATCGTTTATCAAAGTTTCCCCCAAATCGTTGGTCGTTTTCATAATGTTGCCGCAGCGAAATGAGTTAGACCCCCGGTAATTGGTTCGGGCCACGCTCGTGGGCCATCGTAGATGGCACACTTTGACGCCCACGCGCGACCTGGCTTGCATCCTACCTATTCGGCACCCACTTCCATTTCCATTTCCACTTCCAGAGATCTCTGTTTATACAAAGTCTTAGCATAATTTAGTCGTTATATGGCCGTGCGAGCCCCCAACCACCAGACACACTTATCCGCCGCCGCCGTCGTTGTTGCTCTTTTCATCGTTTTATTTTTAAAGAATGAATGAAAAGCCAACGCACAGGCAGAGTAGCAACAACTACCAAAACAGTTCTTTTTTTGGGCGTCTGTCTCGTTTTTTCGTTGTTTTTTTTTTTTTGCTTTGCTTTTTTTTCTCTCTGTTTTCGGAACCCAACTGGTGGCTAATCAAACGTCAAAGACCACGCAGACAGGCCCAGCAAACTACCAGCCAATTCGTTTTGTTCATTTCGCATTTAATTTAACTGATTAACAAGCTGACCGACCCCTTCACCATCCACATCCACATCCACATCCCCCTTAACCATATGCCCATTCCCATTCAGATTCCCATTCCCATCGGCAACCCACGGTGCCGCCATTCGTCAGCATAATTCATTTATTCAACTGTCTGCCGCCCAGTTAGGTGTTAAAAAGTTGTTAACTTATTTTTAATGAATGCGTGTAAAAACACAACACTCACACAACCGAGCAAAAACGACAGGGGCAAAAAAAAAAAAAAAAACAAACCAAAAAAATGAACACCGACAAAAAATCCGAAAAAAGGCAACGGAAAAAAAAAAGATCAAGATGTGCCTACGTAGAGCAGCCCCAACAAGCCGCCGGCAACGGCAAAAAATCGTTCCGTTCATTTCGTTTCGTTTCGTTTTGGGATCTCGGCAAACATATCATGATCAGCAGCGGCAGAAAACGAAACGCGAAGAAGATGGAAAAAAAAGCCAGCTAGCTGGTAAACGCCGAAGTTTCAGATACTCTAGGCTTCAGGAAAGGATATAGCCCAGAATGCCAGATTTTACATTTTTGTTGTACCTTTAAAAATATACTTTATAAGTAGTAATACAATGTTCTTCTATTTATATTCTCTTTTTAAAAGAGTAACAACATTGTATGCTCTTGTTAAGTTTTTTACTTCTAATATCGATGCCAAATTTATAGGGATTGGGCAGAGCTTTAGGATACTAATTCAATTCCTTTTAAAACAAACGCAGATTGTTAGAAGTATTTGTTTTATTAAATTTATACTTTACACAACAGTTTATAGAACGAAGTTTTCACTTGAGGTAGTATTTTGTGGACTTTTAGTCAGGGTATGGCCCAAGTGGGGGGGTCGAGGCACGAAACACGTTAAGACAGCGCAGACCAGGGGCGTGTGCCGCGGCGGGGAGGGGGTTGAGTCGAAGCCAAAGCCAAAGCCAAAGCTAAAACTAAAGCCAAAGACTGTCTGTCGTTTGTTTGGGGCCGTCTGCGACAGCCACCCGAAATGAGCCGCCGCCGCCGCCGCCGTCGTCGTCGTCGTTGTCAGTTGCATGTCAGCTGGCCAAAAAGGGGGACCCGGTGCCCCCAGTTACCCTCCTCCTCCGGAGAAGAGCCCCTTGTGCCAAGCGAAATGCAACCAATTTGTTGCATTTGCCACACAGACGCGTCGAGGAGGAGACCTCGAGGCCGAGGCGTCGCCGCAGCGTGTGGGCAGAGGAAGCACAAGCACTTAATGCCCACAAGGTGTCAAATTGCAGAAAACTCCGCTTCGCCCACCCCGAAAAAAAAAAATAGGAAAAAAAATAATACACACACCAAAAAAAAAAAAAATAACGAAACGAAACGAAACGAAAAAAAATATCAGTCTATGTGTCTGGCGTAAATTAATTTGGCCAAGAGCGTAGGCAAAATAGATACGATACGATCTCATTGAATCAAATCCGTAGGTTCCACGCCGTTTCCGTTCCAATGAATGAAGTTGCAATTTGATTGGGGCCGAAAGGAAAAACAAAAAAAAAAAATAAAAGACAGGAAACCTAAAAAGAGATAAATACACGACTAGTGTACGTCGTTGAGGAAAAAAAGACGGTGAAAAGTTGACAGCTAATAACAGATTTGCGCCAGGCTCTTTTTTTATGGGCGCCATCCATCTGCATCTCTCAGTGGCATTTGCCATGCCTTTCATTAGCACATGCCGCATTCTTGCCATGCATTAATTATCAAGGCGCAATCAGCGCCACACAGGACCCCTCGACACCCCTCTTCCCTCTTCGCATTGCCCACATCCCGATCCCGTTCCCGTTCCCAATCCCAATCCCGATCACGGGCCTTTCTCTAAATGAAAGATGCATTCGCATTCGCATTCGCACGCATCATCTAAATTGCGGATCGCTGATAGGCGGGCAGCGGCAGAAAAAGCGCTCTGAAATCACTCTGAAGGTTCTATCAGTTGCCGAGCATCAATTTGCCATCTTTCTATGGCTATTTTATGGGGGAATAAAATTCAATGGGCTCGCTTGTCGCAGTTATAAGGCCAAAAGTTTAACAAGAATGAGAAATCAACTGGTTAATTCACTTCACAACAATTAAGTCTGAAATATTATTGATTTCCTAACAAGTCTAGCATATAGCTAAAAAATTTTGGTAAATAATTGAGCAATGTACAATTACAATGTACCTTAAAATAATATACATTAATAACAATTATCTAGTCCCAAGAAATCAGCATAGAATATATTTAACAACACGGCCCTTAAAATATATATTCAATTTAATTGAAAACAAAACTAAAACGGCCAAGTCCCCGAAAATATTTCATAGATTTGCAAACCCTTTGATGACTATTTCAACAGCCGAAAATTATAATGAGTAAAAGATAGATATAATTCTCTGCTTTTGGCTCACACCATATATTTTCGTATAAATATTTGCTGGCAATTTTTGTCGCCAAACAAACCATTTGCAATTGGGCATGCAATTGCATAGCTCGACAATTAAATTTACCCTTTAATAGTCGCACATGGGGCAAATCTTTCGTTTCGTATTTTTTTTCGTGCTAAAAACGCCCACCAAAACAAGAAGAAAACCCAAAAATCGCCCGCAAATCGCGTGTCGCGTGACGCGTTTTTGCCGGTTGTTGCTATTGTAGTTGTTGTTGTTGTCTGCCCATTCATTGCAACCCCAAAAAAATACAAAATACAAAATAAAAATAAAAAAAAAAAAGTAAATAAATAAAAATAAAAAGAATACATCCTCAACATATTTGTGCAACTTATCAGCGCATTTAAAATTAGCTAGCAACAAGAACAACAACGAAACCGCCAACGTATTCAGTTGTTGGTTTTTTGTTGTT